TAATAGATGAACATTTACAACATTATTTGAATTTTTGCATACATTCTCTGTGACTCAGTTGCACAAATTAATGTCTTTTACATCAATAGTATGCTACAGTCAATGACGAACTTATTTTTCGGCTAAGAATTTTTCATAGTTGAACAAATGTACAGTTAGACTTATTACTAGGTTCTAATAAGTATAATCACCCTAACCTATATCACCAAAACCTTTCTTTTATATATAAAGATTATTAGTCATGCCTATTAAGAAGGATTCAAAATACTAAATTTGAAAAAGTTCTTGAATGTAAAATTGAAATATGACAAGTTAGAGGACCAAATTCCTAAATAGGCCAACATAGAGGATGAAAACTACAAATTTCCCTATATATATATACCGTGCATCGCACGGGGTACTACTAGTAAACCATAAAATAAGGGTTTTTAAGATATAGGTCCCGGTGACAAAACTTATTAGAACTAAATAACAAGTCCAACTAAACATTTGTTTCACATTTTCATTAAATTTATTGAAAATTTGCCCTCAAAAAGGGAAAATTTTGTTATTTTTTCGTAACGTATTCCCGGTAGTCGTTGGTCGAGGTTTGGTTGAAGATTAGTATAAGGCTCCTTAGTAATTGAGCTACGAAACACCCAACGCTACCTCCAATAGTGGCCTTCCGCTACCACAGCCTTAATGCCCCTGCTTAAGTTACAGGCTCACGCCACTGAGCCCGGCAATTCTAACTTGCTCAAAAAATGGTTTATTAATTAAGTAATATTTGTTTACTTTACCGATGTGGGATTATTAATTAATGATTTATTAATAAGAATATTTGTTTTCTCTTCTTTTTGGGTTCAGCGATTTTAATTGGACTGCTATAGTTTTGGGTAATTACACTTTGCACCGCACCCTCGAATTACGTGGTTTCGCACTTTACACCCCCTCAATTCAATAAATGGCAGAATGCACCCTCCAATTATATTTTCTTTGGCACTTTGCCCCCTAAATTAAATAAATGGTTTTTAAATTTTTGAAATATATATTTATTATTGTGTGTGTTACTGTTAGTATCAATATTAGTTTTAGTATTAGTATCAATATTAGTATCAGTATTACTTACAGGTGAAACTCGGATGGATCGGATAGGAATTAGCCTTTTCGGAAAATTTTCAAACAAAATTCGGGAGTACAAAATCAATTCCATTCCAATTCCAAAATTTTCGGAATCTAAGAATTCATTCTTATTCCAAAAGGCCCGGAAATTTCGGAATTTCGGAAAAAAATCAGAATCACATAAGCGTTAAAGTTTCAAAACTTGGCGGAAAATTTCTAAAATGTTCATATTTTTCAAAAAATAAGAACATCCACGTCGATAAAAGTAAAACTAATAACTAATAAATTTCAGTTCAAAAAATAAACACAACATAATATCTAATAAAACTTCTAACAACAATTCATTATGTCAAAATCCTAAAACAAAAATTATAGGTGTATTTTCGGAAAAATAAGTATTATATAATATTTATTATTTTTAGGTGTATTTTTCGGAAATTTTTTTCGAAATTTCTGATTTAATTTCGGAAAGTAAATCAGATCGGAAATCGGAAATTCCAAATTTATTTTATGTAATTCGAATTCCAATCCAAAAATACCGAAAATTTTTGAAAATCGAAATTTCATAAGTCGGAATAAAAAAAGTTGTTCCAAAATCGGAACATGTCAGATCGGAACCGGCGGGCATTGGACTTGGGCGTGAGATTGTGTCTTACACGCCCAACATGGGCGTTCAAAGCATTCTCCTCTTTCTCTTCTTTTTTTTTTTTTTTTCTTTGGTTATTAGTTTAAGTATTTATTCAAGAAGTTCTGTAGCACGGACACGGTAATATGGAGAAACGGGAAAAGTGACACGTGCAAATGGCATATCCAAAAAGAGCTTATTTTACATACCCCTAGCTACAAAATAAACTAGGGATAAACCCAAACAGAAATCATCCTCTGACATACCCCCTGGAGAAGCGAAAGTACTATACTACCCTTATGTGCAATTTTCGGCCAAACTACATTCAGCATTGCTGGTCCAGCATTAAATATTTTCGCTTATTATTTTTTTCTTTTTTTTTTTCTTTTTTTCTTTTTTTTTTTATTTTTTTTATTATAAACCCGTTTTTTTTAATTTATATGTATCTTTATTAATATTTAATTTCTTTTTTTAATTTTTTTTAAAATAAAAAGTTATTTTTTTTTTATAATTTTTTTTTTGAAAATCAATATGTTTATTGTACCAATAATAACTACATGTACCGGTACTAAGCTATAGTAAGTCGTAGTTATGTTTTTTTTCTTTTTACCGCATGTATTTAGTCGATCAATTTTGTATACACACGAATACTGGCTTATACAAAAGAAATTCATAAACCCCAACAACAAAAATTTACAAATTTCAGTATTTAAATTATAAATCACCTTCAAACCAATAAAATACAAATCGATAATACACAAATATATGCATATGTAACTAACTACATGTTACTATAAGTAACTAGTAATGTATAATAATATATAGTAATGCACAATAATGTATATAGTCTGTTGAACATTGCAACTTGAAGCATAAATAAACTCTTTCATTTCGTGTACTACAACACGAAATATGTCTTAATACCATTTTGTTGTTTGTTTCGTACGTTTGGGTACGAAATGTTACCTTTAATTACGTTTTATGATAATTTCGTGCTAAAACCTACAAAATTAAAGATTCTATTTCGTAAGATTTTACACGAAATTGTACCTTCAATTTCGTGTAATGTCATACGAAATCCCTTAAATATTGTCTTTTTAAAATATTTATGCAGGAACTAAGAGAACAATCTCATGATCGTAGTTACTTCTTTGAACGTGGAATTATGTTTGATAGTAGAGAACCGTTAATTATGTGGGCAAAAGACACAACAATTAGTCATAATCATCAACTGATTAATCATTGTAAAACATAAAAAAAAAACTCATGTTTTAACGTGTGCTATATATTAATTTGGACGACGCGGACTATTGAAGAAACGTTCTTGTCCGTTCATGTTAATTGACACAAAATCAACGGATAATGGATTATGGCGATTGAGTGTGAGTAATGGTAATCATAACCATCTGCCGTATTTGAAAGTTTAACTTATGTTTAAATTTGTATTTTTTTTATTTTGCATTTTAATGTATAACTTACGTTTTAGAATATTTAAATTTGTAATGTTTGGTATTTTAATGTTTAACTTACGTTTGGTATTTTAATGTTTAACTTATATTTTTGGAATGATTAAATTTGTAATGTTGTTTGTTTTTTTATTTTAATGTTTAAGCTATGTTTTGGAATGTTTAAATGTGTACTTTAATTGCTACACTTGTACGCAATTTCTAAATTTATGAAATAAGTCACGTAAAATACTTAAGAAAATCATTAAAATTAGTAAATTAAAATACAAAGCAAACTAGTAAATTAAATAGTTCGTAATAATAATAAAAAAATTAGTAAAATAATTAGTTCCTAATAATAATAAAAATAAATTAGTAAATTAAATAGTTCCTAACAATAATAAAAATATCAAGCAAACTGCTCACATTCTCTCGATGCAGTTCAGCCGGACCTACGTCGGGCTTGGTGATCTTCAGGTGAGTCCGATCGGTGTACCAATCCATGTAGTGCTCGTCGACTTCCCCTCGTTGTCGTGCCGTCTTGTATGCATTGACATGAATGGAATGATCCTCGACCATGTCCCACATGCCACCCGGAAATGGGTGGTTGACTTTGTACGTTGCACCTCCTTTCGGACCGCGTAAACATGGCTTCATCGATAGAATCAAGCCGCGTGGAATATCCTGAACCCACCCGAAGTGTCGGACGCAACGATCAGGCATATACGACTCTGCGACCCACATGTACTGGATCGTGGCATGATACAACGTAAGAGTGGGATACTCTCGTGTATATCCCGACCTAAACATAAAAGAAATATAAATACATTTGTAAAAATTCATATGTTAAAAAAATAAAAATACATAAATCGAAAAATTCATATTTAAAAAAAAATATACATACACAAATCGAATTCATAAATCGAATAATTTATATGGGCAAATTACGAGCACCCCCCTGAAGTATTGCTTAATTACGAAAAAACCCTCCTTCTTTGCATAATTACGAGCATCCCCCTAAAACTAACGGACTGCAAAACATGGTAACAGAACATACAAATTGTCTAAAGTATCCTTCTTGTTAAAATAATTAAATATTAAATATTAAATAAAAAAGGAACAATGAATGAATTAATTTGTCGTGTCATATTACAGCTCTGTATTTGCCTATTTGCCTAACATTGACCCCTCACTTTACTCAGACACAAAAGGATTGAAAAATCTAGGGTTTAAAGGAGAAGCTCACAAAATTTTACCTTTCAAAAATTTGTGCGAAATCTCACAAAATCGACAGAAAAGCTAGAGTTTTGAACTGGATTTGCACTAAACAAGACGCTTCTTGTCCGGCCGTTTGGCAGATCATACGGTAAGATACATTCTATTTCTTGTTTATTTCGTTTGGATATCGGCTTTGTTTTGGTTTATGGGTTCTTCTCCCCCCTAATTCTTCCGTCTGGGTTCTTTTTTCGTAGGATGTACTTATTCTTAGAGTTTCCATTTTTCCAATAGTGCAATTTGTTTTTCTTTTGTGAGTGGTATGTTTTTTCAGTTGTTAAATTATGAATTATAAATTTAAGATTTTTGAGTATTCAATTAAGGGTTCTGAAGTTTAAGGTTTTTCATTTTTTTAATTTAGGGATTGTAGATTTAGGGTTTTTTATTTAGTATTTTTTTAAGTTTCTGAAGTTTAGTGCTTTTTCAGCTGTTGATTTAGGGCTTTTGAATTTAGGAATTTTCAGTTGTTAATTTAGGGTTCTTAAAACTTAGGATTTTCAGTTGTTAATTTAGGGTTTTTGTACTTATTATTTTTTAGTTGTTAATTTAGGCTTTTTCTGTAATTCTGAGTATATTTTTTTTTATTTCATGTAGGAAATGGCACATCCTGTTTACCGGATTGTGCTGCATTATTTGGATGATGAGCATATACTTGATAGCATTGATCCTGACAGATACAGCTATATTGATTTGTGTACTGATATTGTAGCTGTTTTTCCTACGATTGGGGCAATTGATGGTATTAGGATTAGAAGTGGTGTTGAAGGTAGGGCTGGCTGCACTGAGGGATGGATTTCTAAATGGATGCAATCCATTTTTGGGGTTTGATGGATGCCACTTGAAAGGGCCTTATGGTGGTGTACTGCTTTCAGCAGTTGGGTTGGATGGTCATAATGGGTTGTATCCAGTAGCATTTGCTATTGTGGAGACAGAAAACAAAGAGAGTTGGGTTTTTTTTTTTCACAACCTTTTAATCTTGCTCGGTGGCTTCAATGATGGGAGGCCATGGACCTTTGTAACTGACAGACAAAAGGTTAGTATTTATTTACTATGTTTTTCATGTTAATATAACCTGTGAACATTGTACTTTCTAATAAAATCTGTAAATCTTTAAAATGTAGGGACTGGTGGATGCAATTAATGTGACAGTACCTAATGCCATTAACAGAAAATGTGCAAGGCATATTTGTGCAAATTTTAGGAGTCGTTTTAGTGGGGGTCCATTGAAGAAATGGTTTTGGGTAGCTTCTAGGTCATATACTGCTGCTGGTTTTAACTTTGCTATGTATAAGATTAAGGAACTGAGTCCTAATGCATACAAGTGGCTTTTAGATATTCCTTGCGAGTTGTGGTCCAGACATGCATTTGATAGGAGAGTGAAATCATGATTGTCGTTTTCTTTCCACAATTAAGACGCTTGCATTTCTCTTTTTTGTATCTCAAGCAACTCATTTGGGAAGTGCTACTTGAAGAAGCCATGAATTACAAGCAATATAGGAGATGAAATGAAGCAACAAATGAATGAGAAGCAAATGAACCCAATTTCTATTTATAAGTTCTGAAAAAAACGGTCATAAATTCAATTTTCTGATTTTCTTACAATGACCCCCTCATACAATTTAAAACCTTACAATGAACCCCCTCTGACAACAAAAAACGGCTAGTTAAAAACAAAAAAAAAAAAAAAAAAAAAAGAGAATTTAAAAAAAATTATAAAAAATATTTTACATCTTTTTTATAACCTTACGTATAGACCCCTACGGGTATTCTAGTCTTTAAAAATGGATATTCCCTGGAATCATTTTGATTTTGTTATAGTTAACTCGGTGAGGGGGTATTTGTTAGACGGCGAATACTTTAGGGGGGTGCACGTAATTATGCAAGGAATAAGGGTTTTTTCGTAATTAGGCAATACTTCAGGGGGTGCTCGTAATTTCCCCTAATTTATATTTAAAATCAATATAAGTACATAAATCAAAAAAATTCATATTTAAAAAATATATAAATACATAAATCAAAAAACATAAATGCATAAAAAACTTACATCATCCGCCGTCATATTGTCGAGTAAATCTCGAACATGCTCGACCGTGCATGCTTTTGGCGGCGCGTTCCACCTCTTGCATGGAGGTTGAAAGTCGCTGTACCGCTCGCTCTGCTCCAGTGGCTGGAATCTCGGGAAGTACTCGTATATCCAGCACTGCAATATTTTATTTAAAGATATTTAGTTAAATAAAACAATAGAAAGTACATTAATTTAAAAACATAATGAAAAAAATAAGTACAAAAAATATATTAATTTACCTGAAGAAGGGTGGTGCAACCCGCCAAGCTCCTCGACTGCATATACCCAGCTCCCTTTATAAATTGGCCAAACAGGCCGAACCCCACGAATACGTGCCGACCTATCAACTACAATTGATCATTAAACCGTGTAAATAATTAGGGAAACAAAAAAAATATTTTAAAATTTGCTATTCGAACATGTTTCTAACTTTCTATAAATTGCAAAATGGCCCATAAGGTGCCCGACAAGTGTCCGAGTGTCCGACATGAAACGTGTCCGAAACGCGGAAACGTTAGGGAATTGAAGTTTTTGTGTTACATAGATAAGAAGTAATAACTAATTCAATAAGACATAAAATAAGGGTTTTTAAGATATTGGTCTCGGTGACAAAACTTATTAGAACTAAATAACAATTCAACTAACCGTTTGTTTCACATCACACTCAAAAGAAGAAATCTGCATCAAGTAATATTCAAATTGCATTTATTATATTTTATTTAGCATTTAATATCTTTAATTTTTCGTCCGACATTTTGTCAAAAAAAGTTTTTACGTAGAACACGTTACTCTTTTCTATTTTTTTTTCGTTTTAGTATTTTCTTGCACTATCTTGAAGAGCTTATATATATTTTTTTAATTTTTTTCGACCATAATCATGTATATAGACACCCGTAGAAATATGTATTCCCCGTAGTCATTCGTAGTAACACAATTATAAAACTCTAGCCGCCATCCATCTACAAACACTCACAGTAATCCAAATTAGAATACTAGATATGCAACCATCGCCGCCATAGTCATTGCATCTCCCCATTGCCATAACCACCTCCTACTGTAACCACCACCACCGCCCTAACCGCCGCCGTAACCACTCCCACTATAGCCGAAGTCACCCACTATAGACACCTTCGTAATTACCCCCACCATATTCACGGCCTCCGCAGCTGCCGCCACCCACCATAGCCGCATACATAACCACCTGCACCATATCCTCGCCACCCACCGGTTATTGAGATGCTACACCTGGTGAAACACACCAGGTAATTATTAACTGTTGATGCGGTGAAATAACTTTCCAGTAAGCACACATACACATGGGTGTGTGCGTGATTGTGTGTGCAGATCAACGGTCAATAATCACCCAAAAAAAGTAATAAATTATGGGGTCATTACAAATAAGCCCATCAATGGGTACTTATTCATAAAGAGATCCAGACAAAAAACTCCTTTACCAATAATTCCACACATGGTCCAGATTTTTGTAAAAGATAATATGCTCCAATTTCATCCTTACTTTAATTTAACCTCAATATGACCCCAAATTTCACAAATTATTCAATTTTGTCCCAAAACCTTTTTTTTCCAAAAAAAAAAAAAATTCAATTTTATTTTAGCCACCGGATTCCGGCGTAGACCGGCGGTCTCCGGCGTTCACTTTTCCGATTTTTTTTCTTCTTTATTCTTTCTGTAACATTTTTTTTCGTTTAAACAACAATATTGATGTGATAGACAGTAATATTAACTATATTACTGTTAAACACAGTAAAAATAACTAAACTACAGTTTAACACAGTAATATTGTTATATTAATCTCCAGCACAGTAATTTTAATACAACAAAACTCATTATTATTGTGTAATAGAGTAATATTACTATGTTGATCGTTTAACAAATGTAAACATAATAAAAAAGCAAAAGAATAAATATTATTGCGAGTGACAGTAATATTACTATAACAATAGTAATATTAGCTTCAACCACGGTAATATTACAATAATAGACAAAAATATTAGGGTAAATAGCATTAAACCACCTAAACTTTTTAAGTTTTTGCGGATCACCACCTGAACAATTTTTTTTTGCACGAGTTCACTCGTACTTAATAAATTGTGCCACTTTGCCCATTTTTGCCCGTTTTCAGGTCAAAATGACCTGTTCTCAACCCATGTGCATTGCACATGACAAATCCAAGGCTATTGACGTCTTTTCCATTCTAAAAATCTTCATCTTGTTCTCAGCAACGGAGCCCTGAATTTTGAGAACCCATGGCCCGAAAACTTGGAACAAACCACATACGTAAGTACTTTCCCGCCTTTGCAAGGAAGACCCTGCTGTCGCACCAATCTCACCACCAACCGCCCACCGGTGCACACCTCCGCCGCGGCATGGGGCGGCCTCAATTGTGAGAAGATCATATAATCCTCTATTGGTTGGAAGAAGATCTAGTTGATTCGGAGAAAGAAATCGAGAGAAAATAGTGTTCATAAAACCCAATTTCCGTAAATACGAATTTCTGGTGAATGCTTCGACATTTCGGATTTTTGAGATGGGTTTTGTCCGGAAAAGAGATTATGCGTCCTGATTATAAGGGACACCGCCAGGGCCCAGGCTGTTTTGTCTTGGGTGGCGGACATTGTAGCCTGGAACAGACATCATCAAATTACAATCAATAACAGAAAATTATGAACTGCGTGAGTAACCACATTTGCATACATAGAGACATTTGAAATATAACAAATTATATAACACCCAGTGATATAGGTTTATAGTGATCCCGCAACAAATCGGTTAACAATTAGCATTTCAAAACAAATCTAGATTCAAGTTTCAACATTCAAGTTCTAAATAGCGAGACCCTGTCTACATCACCAAATTCGGCCTGAATTGTGCCTAAATCGCGAAAAAAACAACGCTACCCAATTGAAATTGCAAGCAATTCACATCAAATCGAGCTTGAATCACCCCAAAATTGCGATAGTCCCGTATGTACTGAACAAAATCGTGATTTGGTAAGTAATGTTCGAATAGTTGTGGGATTGTTCTTGAAGAAATTGAAAAACATGAAAGAAACAGGGCCAACAAAAAATCAGAATCGAGAGAAAATAGTTTATTTATTCTATTTAACATTTATTCCATTTTTAAAATGGAAAAGACGTCAATAGCCTTGGGTTGAGAACAGGTCATTTTGACATGAAAATGGGCAAAAATGGGCAAAGTGGCACAATTTATTAAGTACGGGTGAACTCGTGCAAAAAAAAAATGTTCAGGTGGTGATCCGCAAAAACTTAAAAAGTTTAGGTGGTTTAATGCTATTTACCCAAAATATTATTATGTTACTCCGTGATAACTCAAACAAACAAAAAAATCCAAAAAAATAATAATATTGATGTGGTTTACAGCAATAATACTATAACAACAGTAATATTAACGTCAACCACAGTAATATGATTGTGTTTACAGTAATATTACAATAATAGACAGTAATATTATTACGTTACTCCGTGAATAACTCAAACAAAAAAAATTCCAAAAAAATAATAATATTGATGTTGTTGACAGTAATATTATTGTGTTTACAGTTATTTTACTGTCAACGACAGTAATATAATTACGTTGACTTGTCAACAAATCAAACAAAATAACAAAAAATAACAAAAAATAAAAAATAATAATATTATGTTAGTTTATTGTCAACGGCAGAACAATTACATAAATGAATTGTCAACGGCAGTACAATTACGTTAATTAACTGTCATTGACAGTATAATTACGTTAATTTACTGTCAGTGACAGCACAATTACGGTCAACGTTTAGCGGCGGACGTAAAAAAAAACAAAAAAAACAAACTTAGAAAAAACACTAAAAAAAGTCAACGCCGGAAACCGGTGAAAAAAATCGAAAGGTAACATTTCTAATATATTCCAATATCCCGTTTAAAGAAGACCAAAAAATAGTTAATAAAAAATTAAAGAAGACTTAAGAAATATTAATAATCAAGCGACATATATAAATTAAACGTGTAAATATTAAAATTATAAGTGTATATTTACAAATATGCTATATAAACATATATAAATTTTTATTTATATATAAATTCTTTTTTATATTTTCATACAAACATATTCAAAATAAATTTTACTGTCAACTATCAATTGCAATGGATCATTAAACCGTGTAAATAATTAGGGAAGCAACAAAAATATTTTAAAATTTACTATTCAAAGCATGTTTCTAACTTTTTAGAAATTACAAAATGGCCCATAAGGTGTCTAGCAAGTGTCCTCGAGTGTCCTACACGAAATGTGTCCGAAACGCGGAGATGTTAGAAAATTGAAGTTTTTTTGCTACATAGATAAGAAGTATACTAACTAATTCAATCTTTATATATAAAAGAAAGGTTTTGCCCCGAAACCCTAATCCTATTTTCGTGAAATAATACCTTCAAAAGTAAATTGACAAAAATAACCCTAGGGTTAGAAATATTTCACGAAAATGGGATTAGGGTTTCGGGGCAAAACCTTTCTTTTATATATAAAGATTATTAGTCATGCCTATTAAGAAGGATTCAAAATACTAAATTTGAAAAAGTTCTTGAATGTAAAATTGAAATATGACAAGTTAGAGGACCAAATTCCTAAATAGGCCAACATAGAGGATGAAAACTACAAATTTCCCTATATATATATACCGTGCATCGCACGGGGTACTACTAGTAAACCATAAAATAAGGGTTTTTAAGATATAGGTCCCGGTGACAAAACTTATTAGAACTAAATAACAAGTCCAACTAAACATTTGTTTCACATTTTCATTAAATTTATTGAAAATTTGCCCTCAAAAAGGGAAAATTTTGTTATTTTTTCGTAACGTATTCCCGGTAGTCGTTGGTCGAGGTTTGGTTGAAGATTAGTATAAGGCTCCTTAGTAATTGAGCTACGAAACACCCAACGCTACCTCCAATAGTGGCCTTCCGCTACCACAGCCTTAATGCCCCTGCTTAAGTTACAGGCTCACGCCACTGAGCCCGGCAATTCTAACTTGCTCAAAAAATGGTTTATTAATTAAGTAATATTTGTTTACTTTACCGATGTGGGATTATTAATTAATGATTTATTAATAAGAATATTTGTTTTCTCTTCTTTTTGGGTTCAGCGATTTTAATTGGACTGCTATAGTTTTGGGTAATTACACTTTGCACCGCACCCTCGAATTACGTGGTTTCGCACTTTACACCCCCTCAATTCAATAAATGGCAGAATGCACCCTCCAATTATATTTTCTTTGGCACTTTGCCCCCTAAATTAAATAAATGGTTTTTAAATTTTTGAAATATATATTTATTATTGTGTGTGTTACTGTTAGTATCAATATTAGTTTTAGTATTAGTATCAATATTAGTATCAGTATTACTTACAGGTGAAACTCGGATGGATCGGATAGGAATTAGCCTTTTCGGAAAATTTTCAAACAAAATTCGGGAGTACAAAATCAATTCCATTCCAATTCCAAAATTTTCGGAATCTAAGAATTCATTCTTATTCCAAAAGGCCCGGAAATTTCGGAATTTCGGAAAAAAATCAGAATCACATAAGCGTTAAAGTTTCAAAACTTGGCGGAAAATTTCTAAAATGTTCATATTTTTCAAAAAATAAGAACATCCACGTCGATAAAAGTAAAACTAATAACTAATAAATTTCAGTTCAAAAAATAAACACAACATAATATCTAATAAAACTTCTAACAACAATTCATTATGTCAAAATCCTAAAACAAAAATTATAGGTGTATTTTCGGAAAAATAAGTATTATATAATATTTATTATTTTTAGGTGTATTTTTCGGAAATTTTTTTCGAAATTTCTGATTTAATTTCGGAAAGTAAATCATATCGGAAATCGGAAATTCCAAATTTATTTTATATAATTCGAATTCCAATCCAAAAATACCGAAAATTTTTGAAAATCAAAATTACAGAAGTCGGAATAAAAAAAGTTGTTCCAAAATCGGAACATTTCAGATCGGAACCGGCGGGCTTTGGACTTGGGCGTGAGATAGTGTCCTACACGCCCAACATGGGCGTTCAAAGCATTCTCCTCTTTCTCTTCTTTTTTTTTTTTTTTTCTTTGGTTATTAGTTTAAGTATTTGTTCAAGAAGTTCTGTAGCACGGACACGGTAATATGGAGAAACGGGAAAAGTGGCACGGGCAAACGGCATATCCAAAAAGAGCTTATTTTACATACCCCTAGCTACAAAATAAACTAGGGATAAACCCAAACAGAAATCATCCTCTGACTTACCCCCTGGAGAAGCGAAAGTACTATACTACCCTTATGTGCAATTTTCGGCCAAACTGCATTCAGCATTTCTGGTCATGCATTTAATATTTTCGCTTATTATTTTTTTCTCTTTTTTTATTTTTTTATTTTTAATTTTATTTTTAATTTTTTTTTTTAATTATAAACCCGTTTTTTTTAATTTATATGTTCTTTTATTAATTTTTAGTTTATTTTTTTAATTTTTTTAAAATAAAAAGTTTTTTTTTTTGTAAAATAAATATGTTTATTGTACCAATAATAACTACATGTACCGGTGGTACGAAACTATAGTAAGTCGTAGTTATGTTCTTTTTTTTTTACCCCATGTATTTAGTCGATCAATTATGTATACACACGAATACTGGCTTATACAAAAGAAATTCATAAACCCCAACAACAAAAATTTACAAATTTCAATATTTAAATTATAAATCACCTCAAAACCAATAAAATACAAATCGATAATACACAAATATATGCATATGTAACTACATGTTACTATATATAAGTAACTAGTCATGTATAATAATATATAGTAATGCACAGTAATCTATATAGTCTGTTGAACATTGCAACTTGAAGCATAAATAAACTCTTTCATTTCGTGTACTACAACACGAAATATGTCTTAATATCATTTTGTTGTTTGTTTCGTACGTTTGATGATAATTTCGTGCTAAAACCTACAAAATTAAAGATACTATTTCGTAAGATTTTACACGAAATTGTACCTTCAATTTCGTGTAATGTCATACGAAATCCCTTAAATATTGTCTTTTTAAAATATTTATGAAGGAACTAAGAGAACAATCTCACGATCATAGCTACTTCTTTGAACGTGGAATTGTGTTTGATAGTAGAGACCGTTAATTATGTGGGCAAAAGACACAACAATTAGTCTTATTACTTACAGGTGAAAGTCGGATGGATTGGATAGGAATTAGCCTTTTCGGAAAATTTTCAAACAAAATTCGGAAGTTCAAAATCAATTCCAATTCCAATTCCAAAATTTCGGAATCTAAGAATTCATTCTAATTGCAAAAGGCCCGGAAATTAAGGAATTTCGGAAAAAAATCGGAAATCACATAAGCGTCAAAATTTCAAAACTTAGCGGAATATTTCTAAAATGTTCATATTTTTTCGAAAAATAAGAACATTCACGTCGATAAAAGTAAAACTAATAACTAATAAATTTCAGTTCAAAAAATAAATAAAAATAAACAGAACATAATATCTAATAAAACTTCTAACAACAATTCATTATGTCAAAATCCTAAAACAAAACTTTTAGGTGTATTTTTCGAAAAAATAAGTATTATATAATATTTATTATTTATAGGTGTATTTTTTTCGGAAAAAAAATTGGAAATTTCTGATTTAATTTTGGAAAATAAATCAGATTGGAAATCGGAAATTCCAAATTTATTTTATATAATTCGAATTCCAATCCAAAAATACCGAAAAAATTTTGGAAATCGAAATTTCAAAAGTCGGAATAAAAAAAGTTTTTCCAAAATCGAAACATTTCATATCGGAACCGGCGGGCATTGGACTTGGCCGGCGTTCAAAGCATTCTACCTCTTTCTTTTTTTTTTCTTTTTTTTTCTTTGGTTGTTAGTTTAAGTATTTATTCAAGAAGTTCTGTAGCACGGACACGGTAATATGGAGAAACGGGAAAAGTGACACGGGCAAACGCCATATCCAAAAAAGGACTTATTTTACATACCTCCAGCTAGGGGTGGCAAACGAGCCGAGCCGGCTCGCGAACTCAACGAGTCGGCTCGAAAAAAGCTCGAACTCGAGCTCGGGTTTTTCGAGCTCGAGCTCGAGCTTCGGACGAGCTCGAGCTCGAGCCCAAAATTAGTTGTTCGGCAACTCGCGAGCCGGCCCGCGAGCTGCCTTCTTTTTATTATTATTATTATTATTATTATTATTATTATTATTATTATTATCATTATTATTATCATTAATATTATTATCATCATTATTATTATTATTATTATTATTAGTATTATTATTATTATTATTATTAGTTATTATTATTATTATTATTATTATTATTATTATTATTATTATTATTATTATTATTATTATTATTATTATTATTATTATTATTATTATTATTATTATTATTATTATTAACTAAATAGTAAATAGTCTATTATAATAAATATATCTAGTATTTAAATAGAAACAAATCTATATTACTTAAATAATTCATAATAATATAAAATATTATAATAATAATAATAATAATAGAAAAAATAAAAAATATATATAACTAGAGTTCATTATTTATTTTATAATTTTTTTTATTTTCCTATGAATAATTTTTTTATAAAAAATAAAATAATTTTAATAAAAAAATTAAATAATAATAAATAAATAAAAAATTAAATAAGCTCGAGCTCGAGCTCAAGCCAAAAAAAATTGGCTCGCTGAGCTCGAGCTCGGCAACATGGACTCGAGCTCGAGCTCGAGCTGGCCAAAAGAGCCGAGCTCGGCTCGAGCTCGGCTCGTTCCCACCCCTACCTCCAGCTACCAAATAAATTAGGGATAAACTCAAGCCAAAATTATCCTCTAACATACCCCCTGGAGAAGCGAAAGTACTATACTACCCTTATGTGCAATTTTCGGCCAAACTGCATTCAACATTTCTGGTCCTGCATTTAGCATTTTCGCTTATCATTTTTTTCTCTTTTCTTATTTTTTTATAAACCCGTTTTTTTAATTTATATGTATTTTTATTAATTTTTAATTTTTTAAAAATAAAACGTTATTTTGGTTTTTTTGAAAAATCAATATGTTTACTGTACTGATAATAACTACATGTACCGGTACTAAACTATAGTAAGTCGTAGTTATGTTCTTTTTTTTTTACCCATATTTTTAGTCGATCAATTATGTATACACACGAATACTGGCTTATGCAAAAGAAATTCATAAACCCCAACAACAAAAACTTACAAATTTCAATATTTAAATTATAAATACCTCAAAACCAATAAAATACAAATCGATACACAAATATATGCATATGTAACTACATGTTACTATATGCAACTAGTAATGGATAATAATATATAGTAATGCACAGTAATGTATATAGTCTGTTGAACATTGCAACTTGAAGCAAAAATAAACTCTTTCATTTCGTGTACTACAACACGAAATATGTGTTAATATCATTTTGTTGTTTGTTTCGTACATTTGGGTACGAAATGTTACCTTTAATTACGTATTATGATAATTTCGTGCTAAAACCTATGAAATCAAAGCTACTATTTCGTAAGATTTTACACGAAATTGTACCTTCAATTTCGTGTAATGTCATACGAAATCCCTTGAATATTGTCTTTTTAAAATATTTATGCAGGAACTAAGAGAACAATCTCACGATCATAGTTACTTCTTTGAACGTTGTATTGTGTTTGATAGTAGAGAACCGTTAATTATGTGGGCAAAAGACACAACAATTAGTCATAATCATCAACTGATTAATCATTGTAAAACATAAAAATCTCATGTTTTAACGTGTGCACGATATTAATCTGGACGACGCCGACTATTGAAGAAACGTTCTTGTCCGTTCATGTTAATTGGCACAAAATCAACGGATAATGGATTATGGCGATTGAGTGTGAGTAATGGTAATCATAACCATTTGCCGTATTTGAAAGTTTAACTTATGTTTAAATTTGTATTTTTTTAATTTTGCGTTTTAATGTTTAACTTACGTTTTAGAATATTTAAATTTGTAATGTTTTGTTTGGTATTTTAATGTTTAACTTATATTTTTGGAATGATTAAATTTGTAATGTTGTTTGTTTTCAATTTTAATGTTTAAGTTATGTTTTGGAATGTTTAAATGTGTACTTTAATTGCTACACTGGTACGCAGTTTCTAAATTCATGAAATTAGTCACGTATAATACTTAAGAAAATCATTAAAATTAGTAAATTAAAAGACAAAACAAACTAGTAAATTAAATAGCTCGTAATAATAATAAACAAAATTAGTAAAATAATTAGTTCCTAATAATAATAAAAATAAATTAGTAAATTAATTAAATAGTTCATAAAAATAATAACAATATCAAGCAAATTGCATAGTTCCTAATAATAATTAAAAAACTTTTAAACTAAATAGTTCATAAAAATACATAACAGGCAAAAAAAATCTATAAACTACCGCCTCGCTCTCCTTGGCGGTTGCACCTCATGACGATGATCATCGTCGTCATCGCCGTCGTCGTCGTCGTACTGGTCGATGCCAATATATCGGACGGCGGGCTGCATAATATCTCCAAGGTCGGCACGTAAATCGACAAACTGCTGCATCCAGTCCTGTCCAGTACGCCTAGTGATCGGCTACAATGCATGTACTATATGATAATAAGTCGGCTGATCTGGTGGCCTCACATTCTCTCGATGCAGTTCAGCCGGACCTACGTCGGGCTTCGTGATCTTCAGATGAGTCTTATCGGTGTACCAATCCATGAAGTGCTCGTCGACTTCCCCTCGTTGTCGTGCCGTCTTGTATACATTGGCATGAATGGAATGAGCCTGGACCATGTCCCACATACCACCCGGAAATGGGTAGTTGACTTTGTACGTTGCACCTCCTTTCGGACCGCGTAAACATGGCTTCATCAATAGAATCAAGCCGCACGGAATATCGTGAACCCACCCGAAGTGTCGGACGCAACGATCAGGCATATAAGACTCTACGACCCACATGTACTGGATCGTGCCATGATACAACGTAAGAGAGGGATACTCTCGTGTATATCCATCCCGACCATACGGTAGCCACTCGACATAAACATAAAAGAAATATAAATACATTTGTAAAAATTCATATGTTAAAAAAATATAAATACATAAATCGAAAAATTCATATTAAGAAAAAATATAAATTCATAAATCGAAAAATTCATATTTAAAAAAAAAATATACATGCATAAATCGAATTGATAAATCGAATAATTTATATTTAAAAGATATATAAGTACATAAATCTAAAAATTTCATATTTAAAAAATATATAAATACATAAATCAAAAAACATAAATGCATAAAAAACTTACATCGTCCGCCGTCATATTGTCGAGTAAATCTCGAACATGTCCGACCGTGCCTGCTTTTGGCGGCGCGTTCCACCTCTTGCATCGAGGTTGAAAGTCGTTGTACCGCTCGCTCTCCTCTAGTGGCTGGAATCTCGGGAAGTACTCGTATATCCAGCACTGCAATATTTTATTTAAAGATATTTAGTTAAATAAACAATAGAAAATACGCAAGAGGTTCTAGATTAGCCGGTTTTAATTTTATTAACATGCTTTGATTAGATTCGTTTAAAGCGGAATAAATCTAATCTAGCAACTTACAGTTTTCGCGAGCAGATCCGTTTCTATCTTCGGCGCACGAACGAGGATCCACGTCAAGCCTTCAACCTTCGTAAAAGCTGCTGTCCAGAAATTTTCAGTTCTCTTCCTTCACCGATATCTCCGCGACCGTTGATCTGATCGAGAAACCCTTCACACAGATTGTAGATCTAAGGGTTAGGAAGCTACTGTATAAATTTCGAGCCTATCCGACTAACGGTTGATTTATGGTGAATTTCTTCGCAAGACTGCTCAGAAAATTCGGGATTTATAGTTTGCTCTAAAAACCTATAATCTTCTATTGTATATCCCGGATTAATAATTCTTCTACAAGGGTGGAATTGTACTTGAAGAAATCTAAATCTATAATCGAGAAACTTAGAGAGAAAAGAAGAAGAGAAAAAATATTTCTCTCCGGAACGTGAATAGGCGTGTGGCCAAAAAACTTATCTCTCATCAACCTAATCTCTATTATATATAGCACAAGGAATTAGAGTCCCACATAGAGAGGATTACATGGAAACAAATCCCACTCCTTCTATAACTCTATATATAGTCGAAAATTGCAGTCCTATGGGAACTTAATTTTCGGCTATATTAATTCCAATATATAACATTGGTTGAACTTTATTTTCTCGATTAATTAGAAAATCCATTGGGCTACAATAGGGACTAAAGGAGAAAATATAAATCGGGCAACTAATAATTAATTAAATCCAAACTCTTAAAAGAATTCATTTAATTAATCATTAAATAATTATTTATTTTCCACTACCAAATAATTATTGAACTTCCGTTTATATTCTCAAATATTACATTCGAGCTCCGGTCGATCATTACTTAGATTCTCCCCACATTAAGATATCTTATAACCACCAAATAATTTATTCACTGCTAAATAAATTAAATGGTTTCTATTCATGAGTCTTACCCGCTTAACTTATTTGAGTATGCCGGATACGAAATCCACCTTGCCAGGACTTGGCATAAACAAATCTTATAAGCTACTCAAGGGTTATTATCAATCTCATATTTCAGAGATGTGGATTCCTTTCAATAATTAATTTCCACCTATTAATTCTTAATGTCTCTACCCAACGCACTGGGGCCATTTGACTCAATATAGGAATCTCTCCCATTGTGACATCAAAGTAGAGATCATCAATTAAATGTGTACGTTAATTATCTAGGGATTAAGAGAGTAAGTAATATGCTGTCAACTAGAAATAATACAGTTTCATTTATGAACAGTGATGAAACAATTATTTCACTTTGTCCGGTTCAACACATGCCGGGTGTGCTAGCACAATAAGTCAAAACAATAACTACAAAAGTTATTCTCTGTTTACTGTGATCAAGACCAATCACTTAAATATTGTGCTACAATATTTTACCAATGGTTAGTCCATTTCCATCTAGATTGTGAACGTTTATCTTTATATTCTAAACGAACTTTCAAAATGATCTTTCTGTGCGCCGTAGCACCCCATTTCGAATACTATTAGAATATTAGACTTATGCTTTTAATTAATTGACAAACAATCAATTAAATGCATTGAATACCCTAGTGCAGATTCTCATAAAATGATAATAAATTATTTTATTCATTCAATAATAAAATTATGAAGCTAAAAACGAGACTTTTAGTCTACTATCCTAACACAACCCGCCAAGCTCCTCGACTGCATATACCCAGCTCCCTGTATAAATTGGCCAAATAGGCCGATCCCCACGAATACGTGCCGAGCTGATCAAGTACAACATCCTTAAGCACGTGCATATACCACAGCTTCACCGATCATACGTCTCGTCGGGGAATAAAATCGATCCAAGAAGAAATACCAGATATATCTGAACTCGGCGTCTCATGGGCTTGTCGGGCATCAAGAACTGTGCCTATAACATCCCCATGTGGGGCCCCCATGCTTCCATGCCTCGTTAATCTCTTCAAAATCTAGGTTCATAATCTCGGACAATAAATGCACGCAGTTTGTCCCTCGATGCTCTTGTCATACCTAGGTGTGACCACCCGTCCCTCCACATGAGCACCTAGTATCATCTAGACATTGCGGAGAGTGATATTCATCTCTCTCCACGGCATGCGGAAGTTGTTCGTCTCCGGTTGCCACCGCTCCACGAACGCAAACAACAATATGCGTGGCAGGAAAGAACGGGCTAGGGGGTACAAATCGGTCATCCGCAGAAAATGCTTGTATGCAGTGACATCTATGCCTAGCTGGGCCAATGAATCTTCAATCGTCCAACCGGAAGTTCCTGTAATCATTTATTTTGA